CTCAGGCATGTCAGTGTGTGGGTTCAGTGCTGAGGTGTGTGTCAAAGCCGTGGGGTCAGTGCTCAGCCATGTGCCAGTGTGTGGGTTCAGTGCTGAGGTGTGTGTCAAAGCCGTGGGGTCAGTGCTGAGGTATGTGTCAGTGTGTGGGGTCAGTGCTCAGCCATGTGCCAGTGTGTGGGTTCAGTGCTGAGGTGTGTGTCAAAGCCGTGGGGTCAGTGCTGAGGTATGTGTCAGTGTGTGGGGTCAGTGCTCAAGCGGGTGTCAGCGTGAAGAATCAGTGCTCAGGAGGGAGTCAGTGCTGAGGTGTGTCAGAGCAAGAAGTCAGTGCTAAGGCATGTGTCAGCGTATAGGGTCGGTGCTCAGGCGGGTGTCGCCGTGCGAAGGAGTCCGTGCTCAGGGTGAGTGTGCGAGCAGTCGTGTATACTGCACTTCCTCCCGGCTGCCATTGTGGTCAGAGCTGCCGCTGGCTGCTCACTTCACTCCGTCTCTCCTGCTCATATAATTAAGTCCCCTGGTGCTGCTCTCTCACCACACATCATCATAACTGCTGCTGTTCGGACATGGGCCGCGTAGCGCACAGACGCCTCCCTGCCCCGGGGAGGGGGGGGGGGGGCACCTGTCACGCACGCTATGGCGAGCCAGAGGCAGCCAGTCACGCTGTGGCGCATCAGTCAAAATAAGAGCACGACACGTTTAAGTTTGAATTAATTCGCGTTAAACCGCCTCCTATCGATCACTTTGCAGATGCGGTGGGAAGTGTATCAGTGAGCCGAAATCGGTCTCCTTACTGCGATTTACTCAGGAGACAGTGACGGGGCACTCCGCTGCTTGCGTTGGTGTTTTAAGGATGATAACATGGTACAGGTCTAACCTCTCAAAGCTTTGGTCATCAGTGATGTTTTTGTTGGTCTTACCTGCATCGCGGGGGCCTGAATCTTCCATCTGCTGACATCAGTTAAGGCTCTGTTTCTTGGGATTATGTCTGCAGGTTTTGCTGCATGTGCAGGTGTGTGTTAGGGAGCAACCCGCATTGTTTCCTGCAAACATGACCGGGGGGAGGCGGGGGGAGGGGTGGGGGGGGCGCACGCTTGCGACGAGGTCGCCGTCCGGAGGACAAATATTTTTCACGTGGAGCGCCGACACATTCATTTTCTTATTTCCTGTGTTAAAAATGACAGTTAATAAGCACCGTGCCTCAAACTCATGTGACCTTGAAGTCGTGGCCACATTGTGAACAGGGACTAATGGGACAGATGAATGCGTTTCTGCTGGGGGGGGGGGGAGAGACACACAGGGACATTGGGACTAGTCCATTAAAACAAGAAGTAGGAGAGATAGTTTGATAAGTGTTGTGCCTGTGTTAACCTTGCTGCCTGTTATCAGGGGGCTGTATGTGTTTGGTGGGATGGGGGGGAGGGGGAGGGGGTCTGTATCTCTTTCCTTGGATTGGATTCTGTTCCCTGTGCAGGAAAATCGATACCTGGGGGGTTAGGGTGACAGGGGCATCATTTCAGAATCGAGGGGCTTGTCAGACATCGTCATTCCCCGGCTTTTGTTCGACGTCGCACTTTTAAACCTTCATTTTTCTCCTGCACCCCACCACCATTTTCCATTTCTCTTTCCGGAAGCCTTTGTCTGAATTCCCCAGGTGGCATTTTATTTTCCGGTTATAAGCTGGGGGGGGGCGAATCGGGGTGGAGAGTCACGTCTGTCGTGGCAGTGTCCCCATCTTGTTCGCGTCCCTTGCCTTATTTGTGCCGCAATTTGCATGCGTCGGAACGCCGCAAGGACGCTGGCGTCGGGCTCACTGCGTTTCCTGCTTAGAGGAAAGCCCCGGGGACCGGGTGTCTGCAGGCTGGAGCTCCTGCAGAGGAGGGAAAGGCGAGAGCCCAGTCGCAGTGTGTCCCACCAGACAGGCCAGGACTCCCCTGCACCTGGGCCTGAGAGACCCCTAAGCAGAGCAAGGTGGGCCAGAAGTTATGGCTAAACTGCCAATCGGGTGGCAGGGGAGGCGGGCTTAGCCGGATTTACCGAAGGGTTTTTTTCAGCGTAACGACTCGTTTAATCTCCAGTCGTTATTTCAGGACGCCTGCCTGTTAATGTGCGTGATATTTCTCTGATACCCACGTGTACGGACGGTGGGGGCTGTCAGCCGGCGCGGTGTGTAACGGCGTCCTCTTTACCGCATGATGGGGAGTGCGGCTCCTGGACAGGCTGTCGTGCAGAAGAGCTTCTCCCCGGCGTGACGAGCTGGAACGCCTGTGAAGCTCCACTTAAGCTGTCTGAGCCGGATCACCGTTAGACGCGCCATGGGTGCCGGGGGACGGGGACCGGCATCTTCCGGTGTGGGGGTGCCCGGCGTGGGCTGGATCTGCCGCGGGTGCATGACACTCGCCTGGAGCAAGTCGTAATACGGCATCCCCCGATTTTCATATCTGCTTAGCCATTTCTGGGTCTCTGAATCATAATAAAATCAACCCTGTGCTGGAAATCAGCTGCTGTTTGGCTGGAAAGTAAATGCTGTGCTGGGAGAGCCGTCCAGGCCGGCGGGAATGTATTACCGCCATCCGTCAGTGGTTCACCCCGACGTGATCCCTCTCCATTTCAGTCTGTGCCTTTTGGACCCGGCTAAACCAGCACTACCTGATATTCAGCCCTCCCCCTCCCCCAGGAGATTAATGGGGGTCTGGTCTGCCCAGTCTAGCCTGTGAGCCAGGGCCTGCTGTTAGTGGGGTTAATGTTTAAAGATTCTGCCGCGATTCCTTTAATATATATTTGTTTGATTTCCGTTCTGTCATGCTTTTAAGGTCAGACTTGACTGTAATGTTCCGCAAGGAGACATAGATTGATAATTAGGGAAGAATGGCCCTCTAATTGGATTTATACCTATGGATTTCCTGTCAGATATGAAAAGTCGCTGCTCAAATTGGAGAGGAGGATCTATTAGTGTGTTTACCGTTAACGTCGTAGAGCGGCCCTCATTGATAGGCCATAGCGGGAGCTCGGGGGCCTCGGCCGGGTCTGCCTCGGGCTGCCTGATTTGATTTCGCCTCAGTGTCCGGAAGGGTGAGACCCGGGGAATCGTATTACATGTTCTCTGCTGTAGCTCTAGCAGAACCCCCCCCCCCACCAAGGAATGAACAGTATGTTGTTTTAAATATGAAAACATTTTCTCTTACTGTTGTGTATTTTCACTACAGAAACATTTTGGAATATCTGTGTTATTAAATGCCAGCGTACTTCTATTTGTGGTTCCATCAGAAGATATTTTATATATGTGTTTATTTTATTATTGTGTTTTTTTTCCCCCTCTGTTTTGCAGTCCCAGTGTGCCCAGTACACGGCAGAGAAGCGAGACGAGGAGAAGATGTGCGACCACCTGATCCGGGCGGCCAAGTACCGGGACCACATGACGGCCACCCAGCTAATCCAGAAGATCGTTAACATCCTGACGGACAAACACGGCGCCTGGGGCAGCTCAGCATCCAGGTACCCGCCTTCCCGCCCCGCTGGGCGCGGCCGCCTCCCACGATTTGTTAGCCTGTAATTTTCAGTATTGACAAACAGAATAGCTGGCTGTTCCACTTGGTCATTTGACTGTGATTCTGATTGGTGGAGAGGCTGCGTAGGGCCCGCCTCCCCCCTGGGGGACAAATCCCTGGGGCCCCTATGGTTTGTGGGAGCCCTGCGCCGCCTGAGGTGCGCCATTCGGAAAGCCCGCTTGGTCCGTAACCATGTCTCCATGTCACTCCGTTTTCTCGCTGGGTTCTAGTGCGGGCCGGCGTCGGCTCTCTGCCCACTGGGTTCTGCTTGTGCCCGCTGTGCCCGCTGTGCCTGTCAGCCTCCGAGGCTCCGCCTCCCTCCCGTTAACGTCATTAGTTTCGTATCGGTATTGATGGGCCCGCTAATTCCACCCGATGGGTGCCCCGGCTCTGGCGGCCGGCCCGGCCTCGGAACCCCCTCCCAATAAATCACCATCAGCCCCCGACGCCACCGCGTCGATATTTTTTCGTCAATTACCGTGAAGGTCAGGTGCTGCGGCTGGGCCTCAGAAGGCAACATCTGGCGCTCTCTCCCAGAAACTTGAGGGGGGGGGGGGGGCAGAGCGATGGGCATTCGCGAGCCGACGCTCCTGTGCCTGCCGGCACCGTGATCGCGGCTCATCGAGGCGGCACTGTGAATACGGTGAGCCGGCATACCGCTCCATAAACATGTATTCCCCAAAGTTCCTATTCAATAAAAACTGAAAATGAAAATATTACGTTCTCAGAAGCTGATGGGAATTGTTGTTTCGTCACAGCAGTGGTATAATATCTCATGACACCTTGAGACCTGCATGAACGCAATTTGTGTCTTAATATCCAGCTTACATCAGATCCAGCCTCCAGAGGCTCGAGGTGTTAGGAATCCCCCCCCCCCATCCCATCCTGTCCCAAGCCCCCCCCCCGTGTCATTCCCTCGTCTGGGCTGGATTGTCCATTCAAAGTCCAGAGGATTTCCTCTTCAGCAGACAAAGGAAATATTTGTCACCCTTTGCTCCAGCGACGGTGCGCCCTTTACTGTCAGTGCCGCACCCCCCCCCTTCAAAAAATGCAGTGAAATGCGAGGGACAGGCACAGGTATCTGTACATCCATACATTACTGTCACCCCGCTGCCCACCCGCCTGGGGACTCAGGTGAAAGCAGGATGCGTCGGATTCAAAAGGGGAACAAAATGAATAAAGGGGCCAAAAATTGAGGTGAGTGGCAGGAATAACCCCCTCCCACCCGAGGGGGGGAGCAGGCCTTTTGCGGAAGGCAGCATGTTTGTTTGGGCGAGGAGGCAAATCCTGTGTGGCGTGCAGGAGCGGCTGAGCGCGAGGATGATGAGGACCGATGATGTGATGCTGCCCCCGACCGCGGTCTCTGAGGACACCCCCCCTCCGCCATCCCATCATAATGGGCTGACTAATGTACCATGGAAATTCACTCTCAGGACGGCAGGGTGGGGTTGGGAGGGGGTCACATCGGAAGCCTAACCGTGCGCAGAAGAACAGCGCAGTTCTGTATGTTGCGATTTTTATTTTATTATTATTTTTCTTTAATTCCTGCCTCTGTACCTTTTGTTTGAAATGGTAGCAGCACAGTCTCCAATTTTGGTGAAGCCGGGTGGGGAGGGGGTGCTTTAAGTGTGTGTGCCCCCCCCCCCCCACAGCAGCTCATTTTCAGCTGCATTGCTGTGTTCTAATGGATGCCCTTAGGCGAGATCCTTCTCGACGGATGGGACATCCATCTTGCTGCGTGTCACGGGCCTCGCCGGAAAGAATCTGTGTGATGCGCACTCCAATTTTTCTTCAGTAAATCAAATCTTCCTTCTTTCAGAAAGATGAATGCTTTGAGGCCGCGGCGTTATATGGAAAAAAAAAAAAATCAATGCGGGCAAAATTGAAACAGTATGCCCCCGTATTGATCGGGCCCGAGAAATCGAAACTAACAGCTTTGTAAAGGGTCCTGCAGACAGTGCGCTAACCTATAATGGACAAACTATCAATATCAGTGCCACTGTTTTATCTTGTAGTATGTCATTTCACAGGCCAGCGGGTGGGCGGCCAAACCTGACCTGGCCCTGCTTAAATCATCCATGCCACCTTTATGTTTTTGTGGGGGGTTTATAATGGCGAAGTGTACTACTCATTTAAAAACTGCATGCACGCACGCATCTCTCGATGCTTTGTTTCATGTACTTGATGCACTTGGTATTTTTGTGCACACGGTTCGAAATAGTCTTTTAAAATATGGTTTATAATCTTTACATCTGTACACAGCTGTGTGGATACGTAGCTTTGAAATCAGGCACCTGGGATTAATTTTGTGAATTATTTTTTTAAGCCCCTGTGCCTGGTGTAATGGGTGAGTCTTTGTGGTTGTTTATGTACCGTATTTTTCGGACCATAAGACGCACCTTTTCCTCCCCCGAAAGAGGGGAGAAAAAGTCACTGCGTCTTATGGTCCGGATATTGCTCTGCTCACATGCTTTAACCCTCTGGGGTCGAGTGCATAGTTGGCGACGCAGCGTACTTCTCGCGTCTATTTCAGTTTATCTCTCGCTGAAATCTTAATGTAGAATCATGAAAAAACGCTGGCTAAATCCGTAATCTGTCTGCTTTTCAAAACGTCCATTGTCGGAAGTATTACAGTTTTTAAAATTAGGTTAAATCGGCAAAAAAATTTAACTATGTCCCCTTACTTTGTTTTACCTGCTTCGGGGGCGTGTAGTTCCGCTGTCACCCGAAGATCGCTATTCACATTCTAAATAGTATTATTAGCGCGTATTCAAATCGCATTCGCATGGTAATTTGGTGAACAACGCAGCGGTGAAACGCGATCCAAATACATCCCCATCAGCGCCATAACAGGGGGGAGGGGTGTGGCCAGGTGTCAATGGATCATTCATACACATGAAAGTTTTTTGTTACTGAAGTGTCTCCTTGTTTCTTTGTACTTTTTATTGTTTTTTACTGACTTTATTTGTTAATAACAGTGATAATGGTTCTTAATGCTGCTGTTGACTACTGTTCACTGTACATGGTTGACGTAAAATATTGTAGGACACTATTTGGTTCAGAATCTTTTTTTTCTTCATTTCCCTCCCCTACAACTAGGTGCGTCTTATGGTCCGAAAAATATGGTAATTAATTTAATTGATTTGACAATCAGGTACTGATTACATAGAATGTTGATGCAACTAATAGGCTACATAAATATATATCACACTATTAAATGGTTAGAC